TATCATAGAGTAGTATACAAACACTGTAGCAGCTGCTACCACATCATATAAAGATATCATAGAGTAGTATACAAACACTGTAGCAGCTGCTACCACATCATATAAAGATATCATAGAGTAGTATACAAACACTGTAGCAGCTGCTACCAAATCATATAAAGATATCATAGAGTAGTATACAAACACTGTAGCAGCTGCTACCAAATCATATAAAGATATCATAGAGTAGTATACAAACACTGTAGCAGCTGCTACCAAATCATAGAGTAGGATCAAGATAAGCTGTTCATCTGAATAGCAGAAAGAGTAACCAGAGTATATGAGTTGCTGCCAGGTTGTTTGCCAAAAGGATTCCAGATGAATGTCATCCTTCACATCAGATGAGAGATAATGTGTGTCAGTGGTTGTGTATTATAGGCAGACCAAGAGCAACAACCAGTATTGAGAATGAAGCCAACATTTTGGCATGTGGCATATTTTGCCAGCACTTTAAAGAAAATTATTAACTGTTTTTCCCACAGTTTTTGTAATACTGTTAGGATATTTACCTCATTTGCTTTTATTCCTATAACTTCTTGTTCTTCTGGAGAGATTTACGTAATTTTTGGCTTAAAATGTTTCAGTTGTTATTGTCTATATCTTTGCAATTGACATTTTGGTGTATGATACATAATAATAAGTGTTAAAGAATATGATGCTGGCACAGTGTAGGCCCTCAACACTTCATTCCATACAATTAACAGTCCTTGTCATTTGAAAAATTCACAAGGGCTGTAAACAGCCCCTGCCAAACTGTCCACAGAGGTAGTTAGTGAGTTTGATTCTTGGTTTACAGAATTGGACAATAAATTTTAATTGGTATTTACTGAATGAATTATACTGTTTTATATCAACAAAATAAAGTTTCACTGGCTGATCTGAGACATGTTCACAGTGCCAATAAGGCACGATGACTTCCGATCAGTATGGCAATCACAGCAGCCTCGTATCGTGCAGAAAGTAATTCATCAAATGCAATGCAGGTCACAGTCAAATTTGATAAAACTTCTTGTTAGGCCGAATCTGCTAATAATTAATATCTCATTTTATAATTTAAACTATAAAACCTTGACATAGTTTCTCAGTTACAAATATTTGTATATATATATATATATATACGACAATATAGTTTGAAAATGCCGTGTTACTGTACGTGTAACGTCACTAACCTTGGCCATTTAAAACTAAAGTATCAGAATCATAGAAGCTAACAGGGTCTTTCAAAGTTATCTGTGTATATAAACAATAGCTGATTGCATGGCCAAAGTCATAACAAAAAATTACATGACCCAAGTTCAAAAGTGTTTATTTCTTGGTAAGAATAAAAGCTCGTTTTATGGGCACTTTCGAGTGTCTGTGAGATGGTACCCATCAAACATGAAGGATTGCACTCAGAATTATTTTGCTCTTGCCATTTCTAAAGTATTTGGTTATTAGTGAGCCTCTGAATTACCTGGTTTTGCTGTATTTTATAAAGGTGTAGCATGTGTGCTGAAATGAAAGTCATCAAACTATTTTACTGCACAGTCATCTTCTTACCAGTGCTCATATCTTTCTTAAACTTGTAATAGATATGTAATGTGCAAATGGGCATTTATTTTAATCATGGGCTTAAATTGTAGCCCATTTGTGAAAACTTGAATTGACAGTATACCATAAATATATGAAAAAAAAAAGAGAGGGTTCTCTCACATTATGTCTCCAAGAGTTATAGGGTACTGAAGTACTTAGTAATCTTTTGGGATGATTATATCATTCACAGTTGTTAATGTGGGTGATCTTCCTTTACGTCAGTGACATTTACTATGGCTATTTAGAACCTTTTTTATGTGGTTGAATGTTTCACATTTAATGTGAAGTGAAATAAGGATAATCTAAATTCAAGAGGACAATTTTGTGTTCAGGTTTCGTGAACTTTACGTGCAGAGGTAGCCTTTGTGTCAAATGATGGCCTTTTTTCCTGACTTTCATAAAAAAGAGCTCAGTTTAATTGTGTAGATGTAGCACCCAGTATTTGACTTTTCTAGCTTTATAAAATGTACAAAGTAGACATTTTGTATGAATGACTCGTACATAAAGTTTAAAATGAAATATGTTGTTAAGTCTTGTCTCAGTGTTAGCCTTCAGTTATGGGCTTATCTAAAGCTCTGATTCAAGGAATCCTGCCTTTTGGAATAGATGTATTATAAAAAGAAGAGAAAACCTATATAATTGTGGTTAACCTACATATCACTTCTTACTATTGTAATTTGCATAACAAATGGTGGTTCATACTTGTATGTTATGATAATTGTTGACAAGTCACTATGAATTGGTTATCCATGAGGAATGAAAAGTAAGAGCTTTCCTAAATGTAATGGAATTCAGGTCCCAAATAAAATTTAGATATTTTAGATTTCTGCAAAATACCAATATGTGTATAGGTTACTTGATTGTATTCACCATATTCTTGTTGTTGAAAATGTTTTTAATTGTTAAACAGAGATCATACATTTTTGCCTTTAATCGAACTTATTAGGATCATTTTATGTTTTGTTTTAACACGTTTTCAGAGATGATAAAATAATCAGGCTTCCCAGCAACCAGACTTTTTCCTTCTTTTTTTGTGACCTCTCTAATTTTTTTACCAAATTTCTCCCTTTATTTCTAGTTTTTAAAGAAATTGACATTAACAAGTTCATTTTAAATCTTTTTCTAGCTTTCAAGTATGTTAATTTGATCCTTTTGTGTTTGTAATGAAGCAGAGAAAGCTTTTGCCAGTATCATGAGATTGGTGATGTCAACCTAAAGGAACTTAGAAACAAATAAAGGTGTGTAATGATATGATATAGGATTTATTTTTTTCCCCCGAGGGAAAATACAAAGGAATTATTCTGAGCTCCTTTTCTTGCTCTACAGAATTGTAACTTGTATAAAATGTTAAACTACAAAGAAATTCACCCACAAAAATATAGAAATATAAAAGTAAACCATAGTATTCCCAGACTTTATCATTTCCTTCCTTATTTTATACCTATTTTTTTTTACTAAGTTGCTGGGAGGTTTGAATGAGGTGTTTTGTAACACAATTTTTAACTTTTGAATATTTTTTTTAGCTGTATACACAACAATGGTTTGTTTAAAGTTTTCCCATCTTAGTTTACACGAGAAGTACATTGATTTTGAATACAAGATTTTAGGGACAACACATAGCTAAAAGCTTTTAGGACTGCAGTTTTTTTTAAATGTTGATGTTAAATAAGAAAGGCATAGGAAAACAAAAACGACACTGGTGAGATATTAATTTATTTGTATTATGTACTTAATAGGCATTTACAGCATCACTAAAATCTGAAAGTACAATAACTTACTAGCAGTGCCTGAAGAGACATGATTGGCTTAAATTGAATTTATTAATTATGATGAATTTTATATTTGGAACTTTGAGGATAGCTCATCTTGTTTATTTTTGTTTAAGTCCGGTATGTCAGAAGAGTATATTAAAGTAACTTTGTATTTTACTGGGTTAACTTGTACTTCTGTCTAGGTAACTTAATTTTATCAGAAGTTAATGACAGATTTTTTTTTTTCATCTTTTTAAATTTTCTTTTTCAACCTTAAATGATTATCAAAGTACCAAAAATTGTGCTGTTAGATAAAAACCAAGTAGTCCTTAAGAAAGTGTTGTAACTTGGAATGTCATAAATTTAACTTTATGTCCTAAAATCATGGCATTTAAATTAAGCCATTTCAGTTTGTATTTAGTAATGTTTTTCAGTTTGGAGTTTATTCTCTTTTTACCATGACAAGGATTTTGAAATTATTTATGGTGTTAATGTTAGTGTTGTTATGCTCATGATCTCATATTGTATCTAAGTCCTAATGAAGCTATTTCTGTACCATTTTATGTAAAATAGTCAACATCATGTAATTATGTTGGTAATTTACTAGTGAAAAATAAAGATAGATATTGGTTTAATTAGACATTTTTGGTAATCTTTATTCAGTATGCTACATTAAAGTATGCAAACGGAATGGTTTAAAGTTTTTCTTCGTGAATTTGGTATAATGAAATGTTTTGAGAAAACTAAGTATTTACAGAGTTTTCTTTTTGGAAGATTTTAAACCTTGGTGTTAATAATACATAAAATTGTTGTAGAAACACACTTTAAGAAACAGATGTTATTGCCAAAAAAAAGAAACCCAGCACATTATAAACTACACCTTAATCCTGCAATTTGATGTTATACTTTCCACATACAACACCAAAACAATATTGAAAATTGTGGACAGATTAATGTAGTATCTATAACATGTAATCATTGGTGTTATTTATAAAAATGATAACAAAATAACCTAAACTGAAGAAAATAAATTATTGATTGTATTTCTTGATGTTTATTTTTTCGACTTCATAGGGGTTTTAACAACTGAAAAGGCACAGAACAAAATATTATATCTTCATATAAACATAATAGGCCATTCCATGATGTTGAAACGAAAGTTCAAACAGACAGCTCTGAGGATATTCCTTGTTTATCCTTATTGGCTAGGAATACATATATATAAAAGCACAAGGTCTAACGTTCGACTTAGAAGAATATTAAATTAAACTTACAGAATTGGCTTTTAAAAAGCATACAGTTGTATGAAAACTGAGTTATTTATGTAAATGGAACAAGAATCAAATCATTTATTAAATTTAAAAAAAATCTAATGTATGACAGTTTTCAAAATAAAACATAAAAGATAACAAAGAACAATTCTCTTGTTATGAGCATAAATTTGTTTCTCAATATAAAGCCTTTATACTTCCTGTCAAAGAAAGAACAAAACCTGCACAGTACAGTAGCCATTTTCTTATCTCTGATGTGGACACAGAAGATAGCCCAATATGGCTTTCTTCTAAAACACAACAACCACCATAATTTTTGTTGTTCAGTGGTGGTTAATGTAGCATTGTGAGAATACACTTTGTTATTAGCATATTTGATTATGTCATATATATGCATATTCCATGTATACAAGACACACTGCAGTTGAAGTAGCTTGTGGTGTTTTTTATCCCATAAACCCTGTCAGATAAAACTTATATTTTCAAGAGCTGATCGAGGTTTACCAGTTTCAGTTTACCTTGACATCAAATACATGTTTTTCCCATTCCATATTGGTTGTGGGCAGTTGCTGACAGTTACTAGTTATCACCCAGAAATTCTAACGCTCCTAGTGCTGAGGCTCACTTTAGTAATAACCAAGCCACATTGATTGAAACCACAAGGAATTAAAAGTTGATTAATTTACAACACTAGGAGAGCATCCACCTACATAACGGCATATACTTTTCTGTAGGTGATGCAGAAGTTTGATATTCCTTCTGTTCTTCTCATTCATAGAAGAAGATATGATTCATTTGCCTGCCCTGTGGCTCGGTCCAAACATTTCTCAAGTTGTATATCTGTCTGATTATGCTATTGTGCCCTCTCTGGACCAACAAACACACCTTCAAGATATTAAGTAATTGGTTTGGGCCCTACTTCTCATTTGGCACCATTAAGGCATGTTGTTCCACAAAAAAAAAGATGGGTGGTGTTGAGAAGGAACATATTTGGTATCTGTAATTTTGACTCTACCAGACAATAAAGACAGCAGTATAAAAAAAACAAAAACCATTATATATTGTTTACAAAGGTTTGGTCTCCCAATAACAGCATTATTGGTTTTTCAGAAAAATGGGTCCTTTCTAAACTAATCCCCATCACACTGAACACCCTTGTTCTTTCAGCTGTGGTCAATCCTACTATTTGTTGGTAAAAGAGTAGCCCAAGAATTGGTAGTGGTGTTGACCAGTTGCCTTCCCTCTAATCTATCACTGCTAAATTAAGGATGGCTAGTACAGATAGCCCTAATGTAGCTTTGTGACAAATTCAAAATCAAACCAAACTTTCTAGAGTTGTTTTCTGTAAGGTTTTGTTGATGAACTTATGTTTTACAAAATTGTAATGCTATGCTCCTGAAAAAAAACAAGAATAACTTTTCTGTTTGTACAGCTGATTTCCGAGTTAAGTCTGTTAACTTTGGATTAAACCCTTCACATTGGTGGTGCAAATATAATATAGTCCTTCCTAAGATGCCATGTTTGTCGTTAACATTACTATTTGTTCTCAGTAAAACTTACTTTTAATGAGTCTTTACAGGGAACTATTATACATTAAGAAGTGCCTTTCTCTTTGATGTCATGGATGGTCTATAGATAAGTATTTCATAAACCTGTCTCTAAGGAGGTTATTGTCTACAAAAAAGTCTTGTTTACCAAGATGGGGATTTTTTGTTTTTTTTCTTGTGTGGTCCAACATTTTCTTTCTCCTTGTTGCTCAAGGGACAATCTACTTTTAATGTGAAACTAAGTAATTATGGGTTTATTTTAGTACCCCAGATTTTCTGACACTTTTAATAAGGGTTCATTACTGATTGTGAAACCTGGGATAATGATTTTCTTTATTCTTCCTGACCCATCTAATGATTCCTTGTAGTAGCCATCAGTGGTTATGTGGCAGAACTTTTTCTTCTCCACATCATCCCATTTTATCTTTGCTACAGAAGATGACTGAAGTCAATCACCCAGGCTTTTCTCTTGCCCATTTGTTCTTCATTCAGTGCTTCCAAACAAAAACATGCTCCAAATAATGAGCTACTTCTGAGGTACTTTGTAGTTGAGCACAAAACTACATAATGGGCTATCAGTGCTGTACCCACCACAAGTATTGAAACTCAGATTTTACCGCTGGGACCTACAGAACTAAATGCTGTATATGAATAAATCCACATGTAGTTTATGGAAATATAGGAATTGTGTATGAACCACCACTCATTGAAGCTAATGGTCTGTTACTTAAACATGTTTGGTAATATAATTCATTCTTCATATTTTTATCATTGCTGCAGAGCTATCTGACAAGATATAAAAATTTAATAATTCATCAATAATATTACCATAAATCTTTGCTGTTATTGTAAAACTTGTAAGGTGAACTGGTTCCTAAAAATGGCAATTGAAATAAGTATTAAGTTTGATACTCTCTTGCTTTGTAAGTCAAGTGTGGTCTCATTTGTAGAACTTCATGTAGTGTATTAAAAACTTGAATCAAGTGAGACATAGCGGTTATCACTTTTGGACTGTTCACGTATCATTACCATAAAACTGTACTCTGTACCTGGGGCCTCGAGTGCACTAATAGCATGAGAATTGATTTCCACTAATTGTTCAGACAATATTTGCAGATGGCTCTTGAGAATTTTGAAACTAACTAAAAACTAAGTATTATCATGAATTCTTGAAAACTGTTCATAAAATATAAATCTTGGAAAGATGGACATATTAATTTGGACTCTTTAAGTGAAGCATTTGTTATTGTAAAAGCTTACAGAGGACATAGTATAAAGACAAGTTAACTGGACATACATGTTTTGCAGCAAGTTGAATTTTGGACTTGGTTTGAAAAATTGACGTCTGGTTGTATATTATAGAATAAGAATGACAAAAGAAGTAGATAAAACATGAAAACTACCTTTACATAGACAGGGAAGGTAGTGTTAAAATTATCATGTTCATTTTAGTGTGACATGGAGGTTAAGTGTGGTGTAAAATTGACGTTTATATCACAGCAGAATGAGAATTCTAACACGATTCAAACTTTCAACTTATATATTACTGTCAAGTAGAAGATTGAGTACTGATGTCATGGAAAGTTAATGTCTATATAACAGAATTAAAAGTCATTCATAACATCACTAGTAGAATATAGGGTTATATGTGGTATAAATAAAACTGTGAAGAAGTAGGGAACATCTATCCTAACAAAATAAGCAAAAAGGGTTATGACCATTTATACAATATATATTTCATAGTTACAAAATTTTTATGTTCTCTAACATTATAATTCATAACATACTGAATCCAGTGGAGGTCATGTGCTAATTCAGCCTTGTATATTATTTTCTGTAACAAAGTCAACTCTTATAACCTTCTTGATGTGTTATGGGATAGTTGTATTATGACCTACTTTACATTGTGTGGGTGGAGCTGTAACATAGAGCAGAGATGTCTTCTCTTAGTTATTGCTCTCTCGTGCTCCTTGTGAGATACTGTCCAAGAGATGTTTCTGCAATCAGGTAAATTTTATGGGAGAGAGGAGGAGAACCAAAATAATTTGAAGATGTGATCAGAGGATCTGCTGATGATTTGAGGAGTTCTCCATCTGTTGAAAGCTGATTGTTCTCAAACACTTAGGCAGACATTCCAGAAGTTCATGCTCTTCTACCTGCCAATATAACAAAATTGCAGCCTGTTTTGTGTAGAATCACAAATCTGATGAGGTGAAGGACAATGATGGAAAGTTTCCAAGCAGACGTAACAAACTGCAGTGACTCTGAGACCTCTTGAGATGGTCTGTACAGCAAGAGATGTAGGTCAGTATTCAGAACTCCTGAATCCCCATGCTGAATGGACCCCACAGAAGTGGTCAGATGGACAATGTTTGCCAACTTGACCTTCCCCATGTCCATCATGTGATGTACCTTGGGTCAGTGAGAACCCTTTTTATAGAAAGGCAGTAGACAAGTGTTGATGTTTGAGTTGCGATGATTGATTGATTGAGAAATGGAAAACTGAAAGGGTGGGGCATGTTTAGTGACATGACCCGCAGCTTGTGAGTCGAGCGTCCTAATCATCAGGCCATACCATACCAGTGATAATCTGTACAGCAAGAGATATAGGTCAGTGTTCAGTGCTGGATGAACCCTACAGAAGTGGTCAGACCTTCAGCCATATTACAGATGTTTTAATTTTATTTTTACCTTTACTTTTTATCCAGATTTGAAAAGCCTAATTTAAGCATATGCTTGTTGGTCACTAATCCCTGTTTTAAATGTATGTATTGCAGCAATACTACAACACTTCATCAGGTAGCTCATAAAGTAAATGTCACAAAACCCTTTTAGTTGTTCATTTCTCAATCAATCAAGCATTGCAACTCAAAAATCAACATTCGTCTACTCTCTCTATAAAAAGGATCCTCACTGCCCATGATGGACATGGGGAAGGTCAAGTTGGTGAGAATTGTCCATCCAGAGTAACTTGTCTGCCAAAAAGCACAACATAGCAGGAGAGGAAACTGGATAAATCGCATAGCTGCTATTGTGTTTCTTTTTTTATTTAAATATATGTATTTTATAATCATATAAAAGTAGCTTCGAAAGAAAACAAGATATTTTCTCAAAGAAGATTTAAGAATAGTTAGTTTAGGAGTAGCTTATGGACTGACTATAGCAGGGTTCAATCTACAGTTTCGTGGCATACTTTACCTCAGGTATGTGGAATTGCTTTACGACTGTCACACAGATCAGAAATACTTCCAGATTCATGTGATCTAATGCTCTGATTGGTCAGCTACAGATAAATGGGTCAGTGTTAAGTTTGCGGACTTACAACACCAAAATCCACAGTTTGATTGTCCACGTTACACAGAGCATAATATTTAATCCAGATCTCAAGATCTTCCATGGCCCTGAGGTGATCCTTGGACCCACCCATAATGGATGCACCTATGGCACACATTTCCTCACTTCACTCGATCAAATAAACCTTGGGCCCTTCCACTTTTAATTTACCTCCTACACCTCTGTAGAGTAATATTGAATAAAAGAGAGAGAAAAGAAAACCGAAAGACTTTGAGTAACAATTCTCTTTGTGGAAACATAAGAGTGCTAAAACTATATCGTATTAGTCTACTTTTTAAAGTTTTTTTATTTTCCAGTGATGAAATGAACTCAAAATAACAACACACACTCACCATTTGAAGGTAATGCCATGTGACTTTTATTTAGCAAGGCTTAAACTCTATCATAACTAACTAAAACATTTGCATAAATTACTACAAATAAATAATGTGAAGAGAACTTTGATTGGATTAAAAGTTGTCTCGAGATGAAAAGGCTGCAATATTACTTTACATATGATATAAGAAATGATGATTTTTAAACTTTTATCCATTTCTACGAGTTCCATTGAAATCTATGATGAACTAAGATACAGTACGCTGAACCTGTTTCTATTTATTAAAATCTTTAGTTTGTAGAGGTAGATTATGACTTATTTAAGATTGTACACTTTATGATACATATTACACAGACTAGACGGAGCACAGAAGAAAATCTTGTGTAACCCTACACTTTGTATAAAATAAATTTTGATTGTTTTAATATAACTTAAAAAAATCATTTGTGTATAAAAAAAGCAGCCTTTCATAGTTTAGTCTCGTATTTTGGTAAAAAATAATATATTAGTATTAATCTACTGTTGTGAAGATGTGATTTCATAGTTTAGTCTCGTATTTTGGTAAAAAATAATATTAGTATTAATCTACTGTTGTGAAGATGTGATTAGTTTTCTTGGAGTATTATACATTTTAGATCTTTCATTTGAAGTGATCATAATGGTTGTTTGAGCACTCTAATTCAGAATTAGTTTACGAATAAGATAAGATTGACTTGTACTGAAAGAAAGAAAGTCATTGTAACTGTAGTCGTGGCACAGGAGTTTGTAGAAAATCGTAAAAAAATATATCTTTTTTTTTGTTTTGCCATGGCTTAGAAGTGAAATCCCACAAACTTCGGACACTGGTGATGACCCTTCAGTGCTAGAGAGAACACCAGAGCTGATATTTTATCTGTGACTAATTTTGACCAGTTGTTTCTCAGGGTTAAATGAAAAACGTTCTTGTGTCCTGTTTCTTCTAATTCTTGACACGTCTCAGCGACTTCTCCTTCATTTTCGTCATTACTCTTTATCCCGTCCTCAGGGTAACCTGAAAAGACTTGTTCTCGTTTCGGCGAAACGTTTCTTGTAACAATCGCATGACGTCGTAAAAAAGGTGACATGACAGGACTTATGTAGAGGTTATCTTCGTTGGAATTAGAAGAAAGTTTTAGCTCGCATCTTCCGCAGCGATCTGGGACACTGACCAGTGTTAATTTCTTGTGACGAATCAGTTTGGCCTGATCCAAGAATGACTTCTGACAACCATTGCACCTAAACGATTTCCTATGATACGAAGACTTTATTTTTTGGTTTCGACGAAATTGAAGAAGACTCTTTCTAGTGATCGCCATATTTACGCTGTTCGTTACCTGTAGAAGAAAAAGTGGATATTTATGCGTGTTTATAACTAGACAAGAGAAAAGAAAAGAGAAACATAGAGATAAAATAAATATCTATAAATTAAAAGAGTAACGTGTTTGCGCACGTGGGAAGCTTTTTAAACTTTATTAATGATTAAACTATGCAAAAACGAAATTAGGAGTAGGGAAGTTTGGACGAAGTCACCCTATGTGTAACGGGGGGTGGTTGTAGATAATACTATTCATTGCAAAGGGAAAATATTTGGGGAATGGGTTTGTCATTCCACATAGTCCCTCCTCTGACAGTAGTGTCTATGTGTTATGGTTTTGTGTGTGAATTACTTCGCTTGTTTATAGACATTTAGAGTCCCGGTACCGTCACCCCGTTGAGTTTTCATACTTGCCCCCTGTGCGCAGATTTTGAAAACATCGCTGGATCTGGCGTCTCTTACTAGATACGTCGATCTGTTTGTCCTTTCTGATCAGACAATTCGGGTCAAAGTGTCTTTTGTATTCGAGATGTGTGGTGGGTATAACGTGTTATGGATAATGTTTAGCCTACTTAGGTTTAACCTCTCAGTGTTTGTTTGTTTGTTATTAAGCACAAAGCTACACAAAGGGCTGTCTTTGTTGTGTCAACCACGAGCATTTAACCCTGGTTTTTAGCGATATAAGCCCCCTGACTTATCGCTGGGGGGGGGGCATTGAGACACCCCACACACCTAACTTCAGACGCGAGTAGCCTAGGCAACTCACGAAACTGTTTTCATTAAATACAAAGTCCTGCCTTAACATTTTATAAACTTTGTGTTTTCAAATATAAAATACCCCAACCAAAAAACGTTTCATACGCGTTTTCTCCTATTAATGTATATAACTGAAAAAAGAAAGTGAAATGTAAAATATGTCAAACAACTCACTACAACACAGGATTTAGTTCCGATTCATTATTACTTTTGAAGTCTTGACGCGGATTATCCATTCATTGTTTTAGAACGAAATTTTTTTTCTAGTTTATGAGTTGTACTTGATTCATATGGTGGCAGCTTGGTCCGCATGATACGATGATCTGGAACCTTCCTAAGTTCATCCTGGACTGAAGATGTTCTTCGTACCTAACTTCACGTTGGTGTTTCTTTGTTGCATAAAGTATGGTCTTGTTTGGTCTAAGGTGTTCTTCGTACCTAACTTCACGTTGGTGTTTCTTTGTTGCACAAACTATGGTCTTGTTTGGTCTAAGGTGTTCTTCGTATCTAACTTCACGTTGGTGTTTCTTTGTTGCACAGTCTATGGTCTTGTTTGGTCTAAGGTGGTTTTTTACCTGACTTTATGTCAGTGATTGTTTATTTGTTGAACCACATGTGACCTTGTATGATCTAAGGTGTGGTCTTAGTTTGGTGTAAGGTGTTCTTCCTACCTAATTTCATTGTTAATATTCCGTTTCTTTGTTGCACCACATTCTCTTATAAACTACACATGTTTGAGAGATATAGTTGGAGAAACTTTTGTCAATGAAAATCTGTCATTCTACTTTAATGAACAAAGCAAATGTTAAACTATTTTAGGATCAGTTATAATCGTTCATGGGATAGTCTACTCTTTGTTCCTGTTTACGATGTTCTGAATTCGTTTCAGGGTCTCCAAATAGCGAAGGAATTTACTATATTCAACCTGAACGATACCTTAAGCACACATGAGCTAATCGCTGTACATACCTTTCGAGATATAGCCCAACAGGCTAACCACTAGACTAAACCCAGTCCGTGTTCGAGGGAAGTCAGTTTTCCGTTATTCTCTAGATGTTATTATTTTGACCGTCTAGCTCTGTCACGAATTTCGAGAGGTTTGGTTTGTTTCAGGTTAAGCACAAAGCTACACAATGTGCTATCTGTGCTCTGCCCACCACGGGTATCGAAACCCGGTTTCTAGTGTTGTAAGTCCGCAGACATACCGCTGTGCCACTGGGTGGAAAATTTCGTTTCTTGTCCACGAGGACAACAAAGGTATCAGCTGCATCATTGTGTAACCATACATCACATATGGGTGTACTTTCTGTCATTACTAGAACTTTAGGGTTTTCTGTCAGTAGTTCACAGGTAATGGTAATCCGGTTTGCATTCTATCTATCTTTAGACCATGAGAAATAACTTAGACGTTCTAAGGAGTTGACTGTTTTAAGTTGGTTCTCTGTTTCGGGATGTCACCATCATGTAGTCTTTCAATAACAGTGTCATCAGCTTGGGCACAGGACAGGTAGGTTATTCGGCCCCTCTCCTTTGGATATGGATTTTCTCAGGGTAGTCCAGGTTCCTCCGCAACTAATTCTACGGCATTTGGATTCAATAATCCCAGCCTCGGCATGGGATTTAAAGATCCCAGTCACTCGGTGGCCCTCATCACGTGGCGTTTGTTTCAACGAGCTTTGTCGAATGTTTGTCGCCTTACTTCTCTTCGTTCCATTGATGTCAGATGAGAAACGAGAGATTTTAGTAATTAGCTTGTCAGCTTCAGCGCTCTGTAAGATATTTAAACTTTTACTATTGTAGTCCTATTTGCTGATCTAAAAGATAGGATTAAGTGGACCGTGAGGATATGACAATCACGTTCAAGGTATATTCTTATGTATATATACAAACAAACACCACGTCATTACAGTCCTTATCACAGTGTCCGGTCATGTTACAGCTGACGACCTTACATCTTGCAATATCAGTGCTGCGTAGTTTCTGTTCTGAAAACCTCTGTTGTAAGGCATTTAAGCTCCACACATATTCCTCTTCCCTGTTCCGTTCCATAATCCACCTAGTGTACTGTTGCCTGTGGACAGCTTTTGCCGCTGACCTTTAAGTTCATGGATTACCAACTATTTAAAAACGCTAAACTTTGCTTTCCATGGCGGGTGTATGACTTGTTGCAGGATGGTGCTCGTACCCCAAGATAATCCATATTATTTTGCTTTCTAATGCCATTAAGTACAAACGATATCTCTTTCTTGCAAACCTCCAATCTGAACATATATGTACGATCTGAATGTATAATTATTTTGCGTGGGAAAGAGCTGCTACATATTTCCATAAGCGATCAACAGTGGCATCACACAACTTACGAAACGCCAAACTATGTTAAAATGTAGTTTGTAATTTTTCAGCTGGGGGCAAGTTCCCATATTGCCCCCCCCCCGAATTAAATCGAATCGTTGTCCACAGCTCGTTTCACAGGGATGAGATCCGATGCCTGACAACTCTACCCAATGGTCGGCGGTAAGTTTAAGCACTTGGAACGCTAAAATCCGGGGTTCGATTCTCCGCGGTGGATACAGCAGATACCCCAATGTGGCTTTGCTCTAAAACAAACAAACATACTGAGAAGACGTATCAATTAAAATTTTTATCAATATTCTTTTTTTTTATTAGTTTTGTTTTCTTTCACATCCAGTAGATGGCGTATGTCTGATTAGAGAATAGTTTCCAAGATCAGCTCTAGCACTCCGAGAGTTATACCTAAATACAGAGACGGAGAATAATATCATGGGTCAAGTGCAAATGATTAATTTATGTTTGTTTGTCTGTCGCGTGCTCAGCCCTCAAGTGTACGATTTCCACCTGTATTTGGTGTGTTCACTTAAGTTGAGTTTTAAACTTATTAGTATTTTAAGATGAAATGCAGTGTCCTCCCTCCCCCGATGGGACAGCGGTAAGTTTACGGAGTTACAACACTAAAATCCAGGGTTTGATTCCCTGCGGTGGACACAGTAGATAGCCCAAATTGGATTTACTCTAAAACAAACAAACAAGTAATGCAGTGTCATATTGAATCGGCAGGACGTAGTCTAACGATTAGCTTGTGGTGTTGCGGATCGAAGAGTCCACAGTTCGATATGTAATGCAGCTGAACACTTTCTGTATAATGTGCCGTTCGGGTTAAAAACTCCAAAACCGATAATTATTAACTAATTATTTTAGATTTTACTTTTTCTACAAACTAAATTTCCTTTATTTGGTTGTACACTATGAAAATATAAACTGTGTGTGTGTGGGAGGGGATCAATATCCGAAATATCCATTTAAATAAACCGATTTTTTCCTTGGCCAATCATAACTCTTGAATAATTTAATCAATTCTCCATTTGAACTTCTATTCTATTCTGGCGCTAGCGATGACATCTCTAGATAAACTTTCGCTCCTTTCACCCCATTCCACACATACACATCAAGCTTTTTCCTAGCTTATTAAGGGATGACCCCTGTCTGTACGATGTCACGGTATGTTTACACGTGCAGGATAATTATAATCACTAAGATGCAGCAGGGTAAAGCAAAGATTTAGTAAACAATATGACCAATCACATATAAATCTTGGTAAGTATGAATATGTGGACAGTAGAACTGGTCACACACAACAAACGATAAATACAGATGTGTAAACGATGTACGAAATGTTCAATCTAATATTAAATAATGTGGTTGATCACACACAACAAACGATACATACAGATGTGTAAACGATGTACGAAATGTTCAATCTAATATTAAATAATGTGGTTGATCACACACAACAAACGATAAATACAGATGTGTAAACGATGTACGAAATGTTCAATCTAATATTAAATAATGTGGTTGATCAC